TTGGGGAACCACTTTCGGTTGACCCACTCTTTTCGGCTTACTTTTGTCTGGAATTGTCTAAGGATATTAAAAAGAAAGTATATACGTGTTTATCTTTTCCTTAGATGATTACAAATTAATTAACTATGTAAAATTCACTAATTCATTCAATATTTATACATACTATGAATCGGGTTCGTAGATTTATTGTACTTTATGCGAACGTCAATACTTCTTACAAAGTTACAGAAGGTGTTTTGCTAAAACCTTGTTTAATTCTTGGAATAAACAGCGCTTAAAGTAAGTACAATTTCTCTTTCTAACTTTCCATGTCCGTGTAACGCGATACGTGTAACGCCCCGTAGTTGCGTTAAACGGGCGCTTTCGGATTCACTTTCAAGGCATGCACGAAACTTGTATCGTCCAAGTGTACCTTAATCCCTCGAGTCTCTTGCATGTCGCGAGCTTAACCTATGAACCATTTCCCCACCGCTGAATCAGTTTTACACTGCTTTGAAAAGAAGTTACGGATTTCCTAGCACCAAACAATTTTTTCTAAATCAACTTTCTTTCAAATCAACCCAGTCTATGTGATAAATCTTGCCATAAATTTGGATAAGTCAGCTAAACAATACCGCGTACAATGGCCTGTTCGAATAAAGCTTTTCTTAGGTGCAATGAGACATTATGAACCGCATTAATGAAGCTCGGAGAATAGCTCAACGAGCAGAGAAGAAACTCAATTAAGTAATTTAGCTTCGTTTTCGCGACGACGTCTTCATCCCCATCGTAAGTCCGTCTCCTCTAATTGCATGACGCGGCCTACTTTGAAGACGAATCAATTTCTTCAATTGAATTCCTTTAAGTCGTCTCTATGCTACCAAGAACTCACCCTTGGAGATCAACCTCGATGACCATAATCCACACCGGTTGCCGTCCAAATTCGTACGAAAATTATCGAAAGTCAACTTTCGCCCGCTAACAATTGCTATTCCTGAGCGGCCATCAGGGACACATGGCTCCAGGTGACCAGGGATGTCAAAGTAACAGTTTCGCTCGTTCTGGATAGCCTTAAGCTCATTTAGGGTGATTCTCAGCTAGAAATGTCATCACCTAATGCACCGGTTTAAGTAATTCAGCAGAAAATTGCATCCTATCCTTTTTGCTACTCGCAGAAACTGCTCCACCTGCTTCTCACGAAACGCTAATAATATATCCGACAACACTGAGCTATATTTCCGATTCATTTTGTATACATAGGAATGATCTGTAAACTAAATTTCTGTGGTCAGATGATAAGAACTTATATCACCAAACCGCATAGTGGTTTGGTACATTGAAAACGACTTCACGAGTTATCTGCGACAAAGTCGTCTCTATTTCGAACGCGACGAATTCAGAACATAGCTGCAAGTAAAATGGAACGCTGTTTTTGTATGTGTGAAACCGCATTGTTCCGGCAAAGTTGCAATTGGAGTCTCGAACAGAGCCTCCCACATTTGAAACACATTTACCACTTCTACGACAAGGGTCATATTCCAATTACGAACTTAGTTTAATGCGACGTTATAATTACCGTCAAACGGGTTTAACATGTTTCAATTAAAATTGTAGGTGTAGGAACTAGTAAAAAGAACTCATAAGGCAGAATCCGCCCCCACCTCTTCGACTCTCTCGTGTCTTCGATAAATTTCCATACAGTGTACAATTATCATGTATAACAAAAATGAATCTTCGGGCCCGGATAAAGTACATCCAATGATTTGTATCTATTGATATCCACACTTCCTGTCAACTGGTTCAGCCGCAAATTCGATAATCAGGTTATTTAAAACGGTTTAATATCAGGGGACATCGAATCGAGCTATGTAGCTTGAAAGTTCCCACCGATAGGGACATATCTCTTCTCACATGCAAGAGCTCCCCGTCCCAACAAAATATGACAGAGGTTTTCGTCGCATGAATATGTAGGTGGTATTTAGGATGCTTTTGTCAGAGGCAGCTCGTACCCGATATTCGCGCACCCCTTTAATAACCTTGTCTTACCCCATCCCCGAGGCCGCGGTTCTCAGCTCTCGTGGAAAATTCTCCTCTTAAACACTCTTCATGGAGCATCTGAAAGTAAAGCGTTTCATTTTGCACAACACTAAGCAATTCCTTGCAAGTCCCAGTTCATAAAATTCCAACAATTTCTATGAAACGTTATTCCTGATTCCAACTATCGAAACAACTAATTGAACCATCGCCCGTGAAATGAAGTCAGTGCTTGAGCATGTCGGAAATTATTTATCCCCACAATTATTGCCTTTAATAAAGCTATCTCATTCCGCAGTTGAAGTCAGTGCTCCTCAACGTACATGAGAAATTCGTTCCTGTAACTTCATCCACAAAGTTTCCCAAAGTTAAGAGGCCGACCCCTTTGCAATAGATGAATCCCAAAGTTTAACGACTATTCGACGCTAGCGCGAGATAAATTTTCTCCCGACTGTTATCCGAGGAAAATTTATTCAAAGTTCTACCGAATCCGCCTTTGGAAACCTAATGTTACAATATAAACTGATTACCTCCATGTACTTCTATACATCGAACCGACATAATTAACCGAATTTAGAATGAAAAAAGGATCCACTGTACGCTATGAAAATATTTACCTGGAAAAAAAAACAGGGATATTCATTCCTCTATTTTTAGAAATGTTTATTCCACATATTTCCGAAAAAACTCAGTACCACTATTCTTGATAACAAAGCAAACCAGAATTACGGTAACTCACAGGTTTAATAGATGAAAGTCTGATTCAAGTGAAAGACAATAAATAGATCCAGCACTTCGACACTTCCGCGCACTCTTAAATGTTCCCCTGTTCTCGAGCCTTTATTCTCACCAAGTTCGTTTCCATTTTTCTTTGCGGATCTTGTAAGATAAGGAATCTTTCGAGTAAATTCTTAAAAAACATAAGATCCACCACTCAAATGATCGAAGAATCGTTTTAAATAGCCCACTGTTAAAAACCGACGACACAAAAAGACAGATTTCCACCAAAGAGAAAAGGTGAACACGGCGATCGAATGTTCAACAGCGGGAGCCCATAAGTATTGATATTGCGGAAAGTTAGCCGCTGACACTCGGTACTGGTTTCCGCGCACATTATTGCATCTACATAATTTTTACTGTTTTTCATTACAACCGAACACACACCGATCCGGAGTCTGGCGCCTAAAAATGGATTTTTCTATGCAATTCCTATTAACATAGTTTTTACATAATTACGCGAGCCGCTCCGCGCCTCTGGAGCTAAACAGCACCGCCATTTTTACAGGAGAATAAATTCCGCAACAGTTAAAACGGGAACAACAAGCGCCACGATGGAAACGCAACTTAGGGGAACGGGGAAACGAACGAGGGAGAATGCAAGAACCCGAGCTTTCTCCGCGACCATAGGGCCTTCGGCCATTCTTTTCCAAAAACTGGAACTCTCTCGTTTCCGGCTTCCTCTCTGGACATTTCGTTGCCGAAGGTGAGAACGCCATTTTCCGCCATACGTGGAACATCCTCGGAGATTATAGCCGGAAGCGCACTCATAAAAGAACACAGGCGCTACGGACAGAGCGGAAACCTCGTAAAGGGCTTTTAATTAATTTTTAACGAGTCCCACCTTCTCTAGCCCTCGACAACGATCGCTTCGATGGACGAGTACCTCCAGACGAGCTAACGCCATTGCCAAGCTCGGGGATACACGTGATTAAATGCAAAATAGGCACAAAAAAGACAATGCAGCACGGGATGGAAAAAATGGGGCAACGAACAAAACTGATTAGATACGTGACCGGAACGTTTACACGAGGAAAATTTGTTACAACAAAGTTCGTAGCAAGCCATTTTTGAAAGTAAGAGCCTCGTAACGGTGTTGGATTAAGTTTGACGTCACATCTTTTATAATGCATGGTGCCATGTTTATGGAAAAGCATTTTTATTTATTCGGAAACGTGAGGTAAATTAATGAGGAAAATAAGAATATTTCACGTAAATTTATACGCGCTGTGCATCTGTCGACTAAAAAGCTTCAACTAGATGTGTATTTCAAAGGATGCTCACGTTATTTTTTCAATGCAGTTTTGTGTCATTTCAATGTTAAATTGTAGAAACTGCATCGAGACTCGAAGCGACACCGGTAAATACAACGTGTTCCATGACCTCTAGTACGATACTTTACCATGCATGTAAATGATTTGTTTTTTGTTTTGAACTACTTGAACTCGGAAGGCCGTCCACTTCGCTCTTTGCCATCTTCGGGTCAAGGTTATTCCAGGTCCGACCGAAAGTCCTCGTAGGTTCCTCCACTTTGTCGGCTGGTTTCTCCGTAACCGAAAACAAAATATTCAATTATTTTCCTCACACGAACGTTCTGTTTCGCAAACATCTTACACAAACGCGAGGCACGATTACAACTTATTCAAACTCGTACAGAGTTACATCGGCAACTCCTAAAAACCTGAGGATAACCTGGAAAAACCCAGCCGATGCTCCACGGCGTTCGAGCGCAACGAATAACCGTAATAAGAAAACGCGCCGCTTTCCACGCTACAGTTTCAAGTGAAAAGTCCGTTTCCATCGGTGGATCGGATTTCAGTTCACTTGGATGCGGGAGGAGAAACCAGCGATGGATCGCCGGTTCATGGTCAAGGTTTAAAGCTTTCTCCGAGGAGATTCGCGATAAACGGAGCGCGACCGAACGAGGCAGTCGCCATTAAATCGTGCCTCGTGTATGACTCGCTGACCAACGTTACATCGGTCATACCCGTTCGCCGCTCTCTTCGCGATTCCCCCGGGAACATCAAGATTGGGATCACGCACGCATCTTGCCGTGAATTTATTCGCACTTGGTCGGACCACCTTGCGCAATTCGTGGCTCGCGGGCGAGTACTGCCGACGGCGCGCTCGGAGAGTGCGCTCAGTCTCCTGGGGCACTCTCGGACCGACGGATCGCCCATAAGACGAGACCAGCCGGTTTAAAGAGATCCCGAAGACGTTCCAGAGGAGAGGCAGAGGATTTAAAGAGAAACTAAGGATGCCGTTACTCCTGGAGGTCTGCAGCAACGAGGCTGTCTGCGAAGCTCTTGGTGGAAATCTCGCTCTTCTCGCCGAGCTGCGAGACAGACTTCGCGAGTGGCTCAAACTTCAACCCCATCTTCCGCAAGGTTCGAATTTACCTATTGCTCTCAGTTCCGCCATGACTCGTAAAATGGTGGTGGTTAATGATAGATGGTGGTGAATAGAGTAATTACTCTATGGAATATTCTTTTTGAAAAATGTGACGGGGGACAAATGAGAACTTGGTAGCTTAGCGCTGCTCTTATAACGATGCGCATAAGTACGTTTCCATGTCATAGAGGTGCAGAATAGGAGTCATTTAAGGTTTTATATAATTAAAGTGAATAAGTACAACTGTTAACCTATCTTATAGGTTAGCCCCCCAAATTAGTATCCGTTCCCATGGAGCAGAAGACGCATTGCATCCTGTTAAAAACTTGACTTAAAACTGTTTAACTCTACAATACAGATTTAAGATCCAATGTTTCGAGTCTGACGTCAATGTTTACGGTTTTGGCAAAATTAACAACTCTATTGAGGGTCAAATCCCTCATAGGCACATCTTATAGATACTTAGAGATGAATCGCAGCTTCGATCGAAGAGGATCGTAGAAAACGACGTGCTAAGCGGTATCTCGGTTCGAAGATACGGAGCCAAATCGTTCGATTACCGTTCTAGAAGAACGTCTGCAATCGGGGATAAGGGAGGGATTCAACGAGGGTTGAACCCTCGTTAATTGTGGGGCTTCAAACGGTAGTTTAAGAGTCCTGTCAAATCTTACAGTCAGGGAAATTGCAAGACGAAAGACCATTACAACTTCTGGAAAGAAATGCTTATATAGAAAACCATTTACTGCCATTACTGCAATGTTAAAAGAAAATGGAACCTTAAATAATGATCGGGGGAAACTCATCGAAATTATTCTACATTAGAGGTACCTATTTTTTACACATGTACATTAAATTTAAATTCGTAAAATGTGATTTCGCTAAATGTAAAGTTGTTAAATTTTACCTGAAATTCGAAATCTGAAACTGTAAAATGCGGACGTAAGATGAGAAAGTTATACCTTCGAATAACGGCACATTGCATCGTGCAATACTGATGTAATGGCTAGAAAACCTAGGAAATTACACAACTACCTAGCCAAATTAACGTACAATTATCACAAGCAGACGACTCAATCCGTCCGTTTCAAGTTATATAATCAGAAAGTAGTTGAACGCTAAAACGTAATATTTACGAAGCAACGATGCACTAGTTTCGTCAAGATACAGAAAGTTCAGGAAGATCACTAATCGCTCTTGAATAATATAATAATTAACTGACAATCACCAGCAAGTACCCTTCGTACTCTTTATGTAATGTAAAATTATACACGATAAGTGAAACGTTGTTTATCAAACTTGTATTGATGCATTTTCTTAAGTCCTGCATTGCCTGTAAGCTTCTTACACCCTATGTACTTCGTATGCAGGCGAACATTCTATCATCCTCGTAATATACATCAGCATTATAGTCATCTACAAATTACGCAGCGGAAGCATTTAATTTTGTCAATCTCTGTGCCGTTAAATTTCCGAAATGAAGTGAGCCGTAATGTATTCTGGATGAGATACATATATTGTTAGCCTTACAGCACTCTGCATTTATCAGATATGACTGTAGAATATATAATAGATACATCCATTCACATAAAATGAAAGATAGAAAGTTTTATGCTTGCGGCTATTTCCGAGTGCTTTCTCGCATTGTCGGACCAAATCTGATTTTTTCAACGCTCAATAAAATGACCAAACCTAAAATAATAGAAAGTATAAATTACTCTAGATCTGGACAAAAACATCGTTAAGCGACACGTTTTGTCTTGTCATATGTGTAATTAAATGACACAAACTGTAATTTATCCCAAGTCTTCGTTGCCCTGAAAAGTGCAGCGAGAAACATTTCTCTTAGGTAGGTCACTCTTTATAAGGAACGGCAAAAAAATTACAAAGCACACTTTCGCCAACGGTAGAATACAAGTCATTTGTCATGTACTGCTTAAGCGGTCGCCCGCCACATGGGTTTCATCCTTTTTCCTCGCTGGGCAGCTTAAGAGAGCAAGAAAACGCGAAGAGTCCGAGATTTTTATTCGAAAATGGGCAATTTTCCAGTAGAGGGCCCCCCTGGCGACAAGAATACCGAATCACCCTTCCGGAAAGCACAAGCTTGGAACTCTCCGAGCCATTTTCCCAAGCGTTTCCCGCCGTTTTCTCGTAACCTCGTCAAGTCGAGCCGTCGTATCTTGCTGGCCCCTTAATCCTCGGATTGCGAAACCTTTGTTGTACTTCCCGTTTTGTACTTTCCGCATTGGCCTTGGGGGAATCGGTTTCCCGGAGCCTAATAAAGCTCCCTCTACCTCTGCCCGAGGTTCCCGCTTTGTCTCGGCCTTACTCTTCCGAGGCGAGCCCGTTCCCCCAGGATTTGGGGCCAGGAAAGACCACGTCTCGGCCCGGATGAAGTTCCTCGAGAAAACTGGGAATCCGGGCAACGAAGACCACCACGGCGAGCCGAAACTTCGATTGGAACTTCGTTTACCCCGGGCTGGAGTGAATACCTTTTGTCAACACGCTCTCAAACATTTACCATTCTACTGGAAGTGCCAATTGCGGTTCCAATCTCTCCTAATAGTAGCGAAATTTCACCGAATTCGTAGGCGACTCGAATCCGGAGGTTCTGCCGCGGTTTCGTGATCTACCGCGACTTCTTCCTCTGGGTCAATATTGTATGTAAACATTTAATCGAGTTCCAAAATACCGAAAATCGATTGGGCTTTTCACTCCGGTTTACCTTACCCTTTAAAACCGAATTGGCCACGATTGAGATTTTCGACGATTTGGAGAGAGTTTTTTGAATTGGCGCGAGCAAAAAAGTAGCCGGAAAAGAAGGACATATCCTTCCAAGACCTCTATAAAGTGCTAATTGAATTCGATTTGGATTGAATCCTATTAACGATGTCACTTTCAAGATTGATTTTGGTACAATTACCGAAACCAAAATGATAGTGCTATTACTAAAATGTTTGCTCTCACGCCCATTTACGTTAAGCTACATATCGACCGTAGTCCATTGATCTTTTGAGGGTATTCTGGCATGTTGAAGAGAAAACTATTTTAATCTACCTCCTAGCTCCGAGGCAGTTTTTACTACGCGGGGTTGCGTTGTATATTGAAAGCAGGAGAAGCAATTTCAATGAGATTTTAAAGCGCCTTTATAACGTCGTCCCCGCATAAGACGGAAACGATGCCTGTGGATTCTCTTGCTTTTGCAGGAACGTCACCATCTTCGACTCGATATTAAATCTTGCCCGAAGATCTAACGCCTGCCCATGATTCTGTTTCACAGATCTGCCCAATGAAAGACTAGAGTATTTCGTAATCGGTACCAAGTTGAGTCTGGAACTAGCCAAACAGAAACTTGATACGTACTACACGGTGAGACGACTGGTCCCTGAGATTTTCCAGGACCGGGATCCTGCAGGACCTTGGGCCACCCGTCTTCGAGAAATTTTGTACGTAGACGTGCAATTAAATTTTCATGACTTCTAAAAGAAAGACCTACATTTTTAAAACGACTAAAAACAATTTTTCTAAATAATAACATTGCATGAACTATTATCGTAGTGCATTTCGTATTTGGATATGTGAAAACTGTTTTAACTTGATTCTTTTGAACGAACTACTGATCTTTTTTCTTCGTTTGAATATTTAATAAAGAAATATAGCTTACAATCGCGTGGAAGCTTGCGATTTCTTCTCCTACTTTTACTTTACAGGAGTAAATGGAGAAGAGTCGTAAACTCATTACACGTAATAATCGATTCTTTTTTCTTAGGCAGTGGGTCTGTTTACCAAAACTTAATTCGGAGAAATTCCGGGTATCGATTTTGCGATCCATCAGTGAGGATGCTTCGAAGTTCCAGCCTTGGGACTTATTCAAGTAAGCGTAAACAATATATACTCCCTAGTACAATTACGGCCTTAAGAATTATATTTGTAGCCTACCTTAACGACCGTTGTACTTTTGGTAGATTTTAACAAGACAAACGTTACGCGTAATACAATTTTTTAAATAAATGTTAAAGGTTCGATTAATTGTAATGGAATCGAAATGACCACTAAGCCAAAGTCATTGCAGTAATGCAGCTCTACCGAGGTTTTTATCCGGATTTGATACATCATTACAGTCCGTGAGATTGATGTTGCATTTGAACTGGTCGATTTAATACCAAAATATATCGTGCACTAACGCTTTGACAGTCCTTGACATAAAATTACGTTTCATGTAGGAAATAGTCATGTAGTCATGTATGTTCAGAGTGCAACGCTGACTGGCAACGTGTTAATAGAAATGTTGATTTCACAGATTTCTAATGCGCGTAGAAAGTGGAAACAGCTACCGTAATTAATCAGTGTTTTATTGACTTACGAATCTCGTCCCTCATCTCGGCCATTAAAAGATAACTATCTGCTACATCGAGTTCAGATAACAATACGGATGTTGAAAAACCCCAAAATATAAACAAAATACTGGCAATCATAAAGCAAGCATCAAATTTTAACCGATCGATTAAATTAAACTTTTGACCCCCACAACGTAACGATGTTAATGATTAATATTTCTCTTCTCAAAAACAGATATTTTCTTAGCATTCATTAATTTAGAAAATCTGTTCATTCGAAAACAATAATTCTCATGTCCAATTTACAAAAGCGCTGCATTTCGTTTGACAACGATTCCAAACCACAATCTCAAGCCATCTTCCTCTCTCCAGCTTTCCCTTGCAGCTTTCCTGTTTTCCGTGAATCCCGCCTCTGCATCTCCTCTATCTGGCGCAACCTACCATTTTCGTTTACCAACACTACCAAGCATCGGGCATGTTACCTAATACCGAACCCCATGAAAAAGAAAATTGCATGCATCCCCGGTATAGAGTTACAGCCACGACGGCATTTCTACCGATATCACGAGCCTCGTCAAAATACAAAGTCTCGTGTATCCAAATATAAAGCTAGATCTCTTTTCTCTTTACGGGCACGTAAGCTCGCCACTGCGGGAGATAATTTTTCGCACCCCCTGTAGCTCGACTGCATTTTCCAACTCCAAGCCACGACGGCATCTCGAATCCCAGTCCATTCCGGTATCCTGGTATCCTGGTATCCTGACATCCTGACATCTCGGCATCCTCGCATTGCTCATATCCTAAGACGAAAGCCCAGCAGGAGCCACCAAAGGGCTGCGCAGGCACGGCTTTCATAAACAAGTGCACGCCTAGGGCGGCGTAAAGCTCGCGCTTTATCGAAACGCTTTCCGGGCTCGCGGATGTTGTTACTCTTATTATTTACAACGGGACTACCCGCGGAGTAATTTCCTCGCGAGTACGAACCGCTCTCGGGGCCCCGGGCCGTAATCGGGGTGGCTCGTAATGCCACCCTTAACTCGCGACTTAGTCCAAGGACGCGCTCCTCCCTCGGGAAGAGGGCGTCCCGACGCCTCCCCGAGCCCGGAATCCCGCTTCTTCTTCCGGCATGCACCCACCGCTCTTGCCACTTCCGTTTACCAACGCGGTCGCGCATCGGCCGCAATTTCTCCGGACTTTATGAGCCGACCTCGATTTAATTACACGGCCCACCTCCCGCTTCGGCTAGGTACAGCTTCATGGTGGGCGACGTCCGTATTTCGGAGTGTCGCAGCCTCGGCGACGTTTACATTTACGACCTCTCCGCCGCGAGGTTGGCCCACCTAGGGAAGCTCAGCCCGACCATCCTGAAGAAATGCGAGGTCGTCGCCACGGTGAGTTTTGGACCCCTCCCGACGTCGTCGGAAGCAAAAAAGACAAACGTCGAAAGGGCTCAACCAAACGGGGGAACTTCCGACTCCCGGATCATCCCGATCTGCCCCTTTTCGACGTTTTTCCCTGCCTTCTCGCTGGCCTATCTCCTTTTCGCTCTTCCTCTTCCTCTCTTTTTTCGACTTTAAACCGAAGGCTCTCCCCGGGAGAGGTGCGAGGGAACCGGAGCTTCGGATCTCCTGTAGCCCGGTGAGTCTCGCTAATACTCTCCGGGAGAGTTTTCTCTCGCGCGTTCTCGCGGGGGTCGCTTTATCGTGCGCCCGGAATTCTACTCCATCGGGCAGGAATGCCGGGGATACTCAAATTCCTGCGACCCCGCATAAACAGTCCTCTTCGAACCGCTTATTCCTCGGAGATTTCGAACTTCGCGGAGAAGTAGGAACCAAGTCGCAAAGATCTCTCTTATCGTTGGACACTTTCGCTTTCTCAGGGGTAGGGGCGAGAAAAAGGGTGGAGGTTCGAACAAAATCGAACGTAAGGTGTCTTCATCAGCACCACCTTTGAACAGGGCGACCAAGAGACCGTGAAACGAATAATTCGATCATGTCGAAGGATCTGGGAAGGGCACCGACGATAAGTGAGATGATTCTTGGGGTCAAAAGGGTACAGTTCACGCTGGGCTGAAAAAAGGAAGACAACGAAGTGCGTTAGAAAGGGAGGACAAGGGAGAGACGGGGGATCGATAAACCAATAATCGAGTACGATCGCACGAGCGAGGTCTTTCCTCCCTGGTCTTTCCTCGCGCGAAACCTTCCTGAAAAGACTCGGAGCTTTGTTGCAGAAGGCGTTCGCCGCGCGAATAAAAGGAATCCATTTCATCAACGCGCCGAGTTTCATCGACCGAATCGTCGCGCTGGTGAAGTCGACGTTAAAGCCGAAACTAGCCGACAGGGTGAGTAGGCGGAGAGACGACGATTTACGGTAGTGGTCGCAAGGCAGCCGCACTTTTTGGGGGTCACCACCTGGGAATGAAAATTGTGCGGGAATGGAGCGAGTGCAACGATTTACGAAAGAGGATTTATTGCTTACAGGTGCACGTTCACTCCTCGGGGTACGAGACTCTCTACGATCACGTACCCAGGGAAATCCTGCCCAAGGACTACGGTGGTGAACAAGAATCCATGGACGTGCTATCAGGTAAGCAGCAGACATAAGGCTGACGTCCCGGGGAGAATAGCGTCGCTCTTTTCCCTTAAGTATGGCTTTGCTTGCTCCTGGGCAAGAGATTGACCGGCAGGGCTCATCTAATGGGTAAGCTGTGATCTGTTTTCTAGAAAAATGGAACGAAAAACTGTTGGAGTGGCGGGACTGGTTCCTAGAGCAGCAAAACGTGGCGGTGGACGAATCTCGTCGATCTGGACCAACCATCGACGAAGACGACCTGTTCGGATTTTCGGGCTCTTTCCGGAAGCTGGAAGTCGATTGAAGACATTCGAAAGCACCCTCCGAAGAGCCTTCTGGCGTTGCGATGAGGGTGTCGACCCTTCTTTCAACCCCTTCGACCGGACTCGTGTTTATTCGAACGAACGCCCGTTAAAGTAGAAAATCCCAGAAAAGGCCAGACGTAAACATGCGTTAAAACGTTCCGACCAGGACGAGGATGCTCCTAAGGATTTCCGTATACTTATCCAACGTGCAAGTACGTACAACGTTGTCGTAACCAGACGACAAAAGAGAGTCAAGAAAGCTATCGATATTACGACCCCAATACATTAGCAAGGGAGGATGCGTTCGTCGCGAATCGACGAAAAGGGCGTAATTCGGAATTATACCAACGAAAGGGATATCTAGGGGAACGGAGGAATAGGTGTTACGGAGACCCCTAGGGACCTTGGCAAAGAGAAGAGGTCGGAGGTGCGATAATAGGGATAATATATGGTCATGAGCTATCCTTTGCCGCCATCCCTCTATAAGATGTCGTGGATTCCGGTGAACCTCTCGCTTTAAAGGCTCTCAAGCTGATTCTTGACTCTAATAACTTTAGAATCGACCCGTAATGACCTTCCGTGAAGAATTTAAAGCAATGTTTCTTTTCATTCCGCAGTTTATTTATTTCACAAAATTTTAATTAACCTCCCAACATATTTAGCCAATTATTGCCCGTAAGGAACATTTTAAGCAAGGGAACATCTTTACAATAAATAGAATTTATTTATATAATATTCAACGTTCCCAGTAGTAAAGTAAACGACATTATTTGCATTACTGTAAACGATATGGATCTATTTTACCAAAGACAAGTCTTTAGTGGTTTGCTGTCTCGACTTTACGAACGTGTTCTGTTCAAGATCAGGTAGCCATGCTTGCAAGCTCCTGAGACACGGAATCAGAGGCCATTTCGCTTGATTGACTTTAATAGCGAAATTATTCAGAAAATTCTGCGATCCGTTAGTTAAAAGGACCTCATCCAGAGTCTAACTTAAGGGACGTCGATTTACGGCCGCCCATCCGTCGTCCTTCGGTTTAATTGGATTCCGCGTACGGCTACGACGATTATGGTAACTCGTTAAGGTTCTACACGGTGGAGGGAAGATGGTAACTTGAAGCGGTATCCTGAACGGTTGCATCGCTCCGAGCTCTGACAACGGTTACCTTGCGATGTTCCACCTGCGAGGACACCAACGTTCATTAATAGCATTTGAGCCTTACGATATGAAGCACTTACGCAATACCAACTTATGCTTTAAAGGGACTATTCACGCGAGATAATTCTGCCCATGTCTTCATCTGAAAATGATACATTTGTGCATACGATGCCACGAGATAGGAAAAAGTACCAATCTCACTCATCCTGTACCTCTTCTTGGAGGAATATAAATATACTTCGATGGTAATTGAAAGTTCATTAAAATATGAATTACAAGAGACAAGTAGCTAAATATAATGTAGTACATTCTTATGTTGCAATCGTGCAGTACTTTGACAAATTAATTTGCGGAAACTGTGATTTGGATTAGAAAATTTCACGATTTCTCAGTCATCCGTTAATTATCCATTTTCACTTTTTTTCTTAAATATTTATGTATTCATTAATTACAATTTCATTAGAAATTATATTTTTAGAGTCGAAGAGCGTTGGAATCGTAGCACAGGGAATGGCAGACAGAAAAAGTCAAACGGAATAAAGCCGGCGATTCCGATACTATAAATCCATCACAAGGTATTCTTCACGTAATTGCATCGGGGCGTATGCATAGTTACGCTATGACTTTAGGAAGAGGACTTAATCCTCAAAGCATACGAGCGGCTGGGGAAGGATAAAGAGGATGAACGGAAGATTCCCAGGGAAAAGTGGACAAAAGATATATGGCAGACCGTCCTTGTTCGGTTCTGTCCTGAAAATCCACAGATTTTATTAGAAGCTACTGTAATTTTTCAAACGCCGAAAGACAAGGACACAATCGACAATCTTTCTCAACATTTGCAACCTAAAATTTTCAAAAAATAGTCGTGGAATGTTCCATCCAGCCTGTCCGATCCTCAAAGTCTGTTTCGCAAAATCTACAGTAATTACCGTTTTCACGGTTTTGCACATTGTGACCATCCAAATATTTCGTCCATCTCTTATACATGTTTCATCGATGAAGAATAAGTTGCAATCGAATTTTTCTTTAAAATCTTAAACGGAACTAATAAACGATTGGCGCAGCACATTTCTAGCGTTGGCCCTGCTTACCATCGCTCCCATGCTTTTCCTAAAAAACTTCAATTTTCAATTTTCTTCATACAATGCACCCTACCGATTTCAACGAAATAGTTGATTTTAGATGGAGGGTATACATTACTCGAATGTAAGGTCAGCAACTTAAATCTTACAGCATAGCCGATCCGATTATGTCAAAGCCCTCCGAAACGACGAACACCTCTATTGCTGTCCGTAAAATTGCAATTCAATTCCCGATTACGGGAACCCCGTCGAGGCAGTCCAGTGCGGGCTAAAGTGTATATCGTTGTAGGGCTCAAAAGGGTAAGGAGTAAGTGCCGCCGCGACGGGATAAGAAAGGAATCTATTATATAGCCGCGATCGCGTGCGATGGGATATTCCTAGCGGGTGCGCTCTACTCTCCATACTAAAATTCACTTCTCGAAAATGTTCCGTCCGCCGCCCCACCGGCCAAGGGAAAAATGTGGAAAAGGGCTGTCACGCGGTACGTCCGGGGATGAATAATGGATCGCCTGTTTTCAGAACAAAGCCTACCTCCGAACAAGCCGCGACAGAAGAGGTGTCTTTTTCCGGGGATTTCCCGAAAATGTCCAGCCACCCGCAGGACTTGCTACTTGTCCGATGATCAAACGAGATTGCGTCGATGAGTCGTTTCCCTTCATCCCTCGAAGACCGCACGTGAAACGTGGGGGGAAAACGATATCTTCTTCCTCCACGTGTTATTCATACGTGGTTACTTACACGATATCGGTCAACCGGCTTAAGAATAAGCTTCTCCTTAATCGAACGCATTATTATTTTGGGATCGAGTTGATCGATCTCCCACCCCATTAATTAAGCATTAAATTGCAATGTCACTAATCATTGGAAAGTTTAATATGGTATGTCGAACGGCCTGTGATAAAAGAATACGTCGATAAGGCGCAACTCCTTCGAAAAAAGTTTCAATAACTGGGCTCTTGAAAGTACATCTCGGGAAATCGAGGCGTTCAATGCGTACTTCGAGTGATCGATAATGAGCAACGCGACTGGTAGGTGAATAATAAAGTCATTCAAGTACCGGAAAGAGGTATAGCTGGGTAACGAGATTGTTTACAACTTTTCTCTCCGGTATCAGGGCGCGCCCTCGCTACTCTGGATAATCGGACACGGCGTGTTGACTTCAATCAACATCCGAGCAATCGTACTTCAACGGGCTGTTGAAGTCACGGCATAGAGAATTTGCCGTCCTTTCGCAGCAAGTACACAATGGCGGAGTGAGAGTCGGCGAAAGATACAGCCTCCAATTTTTAATGGAAAAGTATAAGAAAAGTCGCCTTCCCTGAAATAGTCACCGAGCGTGCACATTTATTTTTGCCCAGGGTCCAATGGTCTCCCCGGGGCACCGAGCCGTGTTATTAGGGGAACTCCTCCTAAGAGAAGTTCTACGAGGGAAATACATTTCTCGGGGAATCCACGCAATTGGGATAACTTCGCCGATGTTTGAAAGTCATGGAGTTTCGCGTCAATTTTCGAGCCGTCGACGGACTCCGAGGACTCGTCATGGCGGCGCGGATAAGTACTTCTCAAAGAAAGTTTCCTTCGGAAAGTACGCGTCTACACCGACGGGTGGGGAAGACGCAGGGACGAGTGATGTACGGGAAACAAGGCTTGGCAGAGAAACCAAGATGTATTGGGTGCTTTCCAGCGGAGGTGGCGAGATGTAATTATTTAGGTAGTTCCTCCACCGGGATTCCTTTTTCCCTCCACCCCTCCCCGAAGTGGAGGAAGCGGGAAAGGAGGAGAGAAGGATAAAAGGGCCACCCACCCACTCCATTTCGGATTGCCGCAGCAATCTCTAGCTTTTATGCATCCGTCTCATAATTTCTCCCCGTACGCAATTCCTTGAGCCCGATTCGTCGCTATCACGGGGATCGGGCTGGTAAAACAGACATTGTTAAAGAAAATTCCTGGATACGGAGCGAATGGAAGTATATCAACGAGTTCGTGTTTATTGACAACAGATGTGGCATTTTCTAAGGTAGTATCGAATAGAGCGCATATCGGCTCTGTGTTGGCACTTGCTCAAAAGTTTGAATCAAAATTCACCTCCGCGCAGTAACCTGTGATTTTCTAGGAAGATTTTATGATCGTCCTGATTCTGAATTAATAATGAAATTAAATAGAGAAAAAAAATGTAATTAATGTTGTACGGCATGACTAAAATTAAAAAGCGAGGGTAAATTATCTACTTTGTATAAAGTATTTGGAACACATTTTTTGTGAATTTTTAAAGAATCACATTGCGATCCCCTACCTACCGAAATCATGTATTCAGTGAACAACGGCTGTCAAATTAGGTAGATGTCGGTCTGAAAATGGTTTAGACGCCTGAGTGCAGATGCATTCGGTATCATCCGTTCCATGAAAACGTTGTCGCCGACGATGTCGGAAAGAGGAATATCGAATGAATACTGATCGGATAGCACGGACACTGAAACGTTTAAACGCTTCCATTCAAATATATTGGATCATGTCTAGGATCCATACATGAGTAGGACAGTACGGATGCTGAACTGAAACAAACCGGATGGATATAAACTGATCTTTAGCCTAAACCCGAAGATAAGAATGAAATCCTTATTTTGAGGGTAAAACGGTGTTAGAAATAGATCTTTCGTGAATTAATGTCTAAATTCTGTTCTACGTCAAATTATTAAAGTATTTATTGATGTTTACTTTATTCCATTATAAAATAACTAACCTAATGTTTTCTACCATGAGATATTTATGTTTAGTTGACCTCACAAAATACACTTCTTCCTAAAAATATTTTAAGACTGCTATTTACGTAAATATAAATATACGTAATTTCTAGAAACACGATCAGAACTTATTGGAGGGAAAAGCCTGTCTTCAGCCTTTTTTAGAAATAATTCGAAGTACGATGTCGTCCCTCATCATTTTCTAAGAATAGCGAGGGAACGATCCACGTGCTGAAATACTGTCTTACGGTTGACTTCTTTTTATTTTCTCGGTGAGAAGAAAACACCAGGAAAATAAATCGGGAATGCCGTATCGCGCAATATTCGTAAAGTAACGGTCATCGTGGATCGATACACCGCCGATCGTATCCTCCGATCCGATCGAACGGAACCTGTGACATTCTTGTCCCTCGAACGAGGGCTTGGCTACGCTGAGAAAATGCGATTTTCAATCGAGATCCGCGAGATGAGCCCTCGTAAATTTTACGGCATCTCTTCGTCGCTTGTTAACGTTTCCCTGTTTACGTCGACGTCTACGAGTGCGTAAGAGTTTTGAGCACCCAGAGGGTAACCGAGGTCGATTCATTCCTCCTTTATTTCGAAAATTTATCCTCAACGGATATGTCTCAAGAAATTGGATTTTAATTCAATTATTTCCACTATCACATTTGCAGAAGAATCGAAAGGCAATAATTTTATTTTTATTTAATCTGATAAATGTTGCATGTTTGAAAAATCTGTGTTTAAACGATCGTATTAACTACCTACATAACTACAT